AATGTTGTTAGACATTATGGTGTTAGTTCTAGAAATGTTCATAAAAATGTTGTTACTACAAAAATGTACGCAACAATATTCGACTTGAGACTTCTCACACAAGAGAGGATGAATTGTGTTGTTTGAAAAAATAAAGTGCGGAAATTAAAAAGAGTTAGGGAAGAACAAAAACACTGAGAGTTATAGAGGTTCGGTCATAATAAAAGTGACATACTCCTCTCTCCAAAAATTGATCTTCAAATTTCCATTATTTACTTGAGAGCTTATAGTAGTTCCATTATATAACTTTCTGTTTGATAAATCTAAATGCATACCTTATGTTTGTTTAATTGAAAACTTTAATTTCTAGAATAAAGTGAATTCATAGTTGTTATGTTGAAAACTAGATATAAACCCAATGATTTATATGCAAGTACATTATTATATATGTCACATTCTTTTTCTTTTACTTGAAAACCAAATAGAACCAAATAGAATTCAAGAGGAGAGTTGGAAACAGTTTTGGATGAGCAGCAGCCGAGGGAAGGTGGCATGGAAGTCTCTTTGAAGTTGCACCTTCCTAAGAAAAGACTGAATGTATATGAAGGTATGTAAAATAAATAAAATTACAATAAATGTTTGCCTATAACAACAAAATCATTTGTGTTGTTTATCTGGTAAATTTGAATTTTACTTAAAATCTTAATGTAATGTTTAATTATTTGTCACATAGTCTATGATATCATTTTCAATTCATATAATTCGTAAATCAATTAAAGGAAAATGAATAATATTTCTATTTCTTAAATCATATAAAATTGAAAGTTCAAAAGAAATCGATAAAAATCAGATTAAAAATTAGAATCAATAAGACAATAAATATTATAACTTATTAAATCATAATTAATAATATTAAAGTTTAAATTTATATTAAATTAAAGAAGTTAATTTATATGATTTATTTATAGTAGTTTTAATTAATATATCATCCCAATTATAGATTTTTATAAATAAATAATTTTATTTATGATTTTAGTTACAATTTATTGTTAATAAAAATAGAATCTTTATTACAATAATTACATTCACATATTAAATAATTATATTTTCTCACACTATAACAATGAATTCATTATTTAGATTGAATAATAATTTTTATAAAAAAATGGAAATTCTTCACACATCATCTCTTTTCAACGTCAACTCTTCCAACATCAACTTGAGCATCATATCTTTTCAAATCTAACTGAAATTTCAACATCACGTTTAAGGTATATAATTTATCATTGAAATGTTCATAGAAATGACGTTAGCTTTAGAAATGTTCATAGAAATGTTGTTAGACGTTATGGTGTTAGTTTTTGAAATGTTCATAAAAATGTTGTTACCACTGAATATAGGCAACAATCTTGGACTTGAGACTTCACACACAAGAGAAGATGAAATGTGTGGTTTGACAAAATATAATTTTGAAAACTTTTCTTAAGATATACCTGAGTTTAAAATGTTTTTTTCCCCCAAGATTTAGCAGCTGAATATATATTTATATATATATATATATATATATATATATATATATATATATATATATATAATATATATATATATATATATATATATATATATATATAATATATATATATATATATATATATATATATATATATATATATATATATATATATATTATAAAAATAAAGTGCGTAAATTAAAAAGAGTTAAGGGAAGAAGAAAAACACTGAGAGTTATAAATGTTCGGTCATAATAAAAGCGACCTACTCCTCTCTTCAAGAATTGATCTTCAGATTTTCATTATTTACTTGAGAGCTTATAGTAGTTCCATTATATAACTTTCTGGTTTGATGAATCTAACTGCATACTTTATGTTTGTTTAATTGAAAACTTTAGTTTCTAGAATAAAGTGAATTCATAGTTGTTATGTTGAAAATTAGATATAAACCCAATGATTTATATGCAAGTGCACTTTTATATATGGCCCCTTCTTTTTCTTATACTCAAAAACCAAATAGAACCAAATAGAATTCCAGAGAAGAGTTGAAAATAATTTTGGTTGAGAAGCAGCAGGGAAGGTGGCATGGAAGTCTATTTGAAGTTGCAACTTCCCAAGAAAAGACTGTATGTATATGAAGGGATGTAAAATAAATAAAATGACCAAAAATTGTTGCCAACATCAACAGAGTCATTTGTGTTGTTTATCTAGTAAATTTGAATTTTACTTAAAATCATAAGTAATGTTTAATTATTTGTCTCATAGTCTATGATATCATTTTCAATTCATATAATTCATAAATAGAAAATGAAAAATATTTCAATTTCTTAAATCATATATAACTGAAAGTTCAAAAGAAATCGATAAAAATTGGATTAAAAATTAGAATCAATAAGACAATATATACTATAACTTATTAAAACATAATTAATATTATTAAAATTAAAATTTAAATTATATTAAAGAAGTTAATTTATATGATTTATTTATAGTAGTTTTAATTAATATATCATCACAATTATAGATTTTTGAATAAGTAAATAAGTTTATTTATGATTTTAGTTACAATTTATTGTTAATAAAAATAGAATCTTTATTACGATAATTACATATTACATTCACATAATAAATAATTATATTTTCTGACACTACAATAATGGATGAATTATTTAGATTGAATAGTAGATTTTATTAACAATGGAAATTCTTCGAACATCATCTCTTTTCAACGTCAACTCTTCCAACATCAACGTGAAAATCATATCTTTTCAAACCTAGCTAAAACTTCATCATCACGTTTAAGGTATATAATTTACCATTAAAATGTTCATAGAAATGTCGTTAGCTTTATAAATGTTCATAGAAATGTTTTTAGACTTTATGGTGTTAGTTTTAGAAATGTTCATTAAAATGTTGTTACCACTGAAATGTATGCAACAATATTGGACCTGAGACTTCACACAAAAGAGAGGATGAAATGTTTGGTTTAACAAAATATAATTTTGAAAACTTTTCTTAAGATCTACCCGAGTTATAATGTTTCTTTCCAAGATTAGCAGTTGAATATATATAAATATATATATATATATATATATATATAATATATATTATATATATATATATATATATATTATATATATATATATATATATATATATATATATATATATATATATAGTATATATATATATATATATATATATATATATATATAATATATATATATATTATAAAGTGCGGAAATTAAACAAGATTTAAGGGAAGAAGAAAAACACCGAGTATTATAGAGTTTCGGTCATAATAAAAGTGACTTACTACCTCTCCCCCAAGAAATGATCTTCAGATTTCTACTATTTACTTGAGAGCTATAATAGTTTCATTATATAACTTTCTGATTTGATAAATCTAAATGCATACCTTAGGTTTGTTTAATTGAAAACTTTAGTTTCTAGAATAAAGTGGATTCATAGTTGTTATTTTCAAAATTAGATATAAACCCAATGATTTATATGCAAGTACAATATTATATATGTCACATTCTTTTTATTGTACTTGAAAACCAAATAGAACAAATAGAATTCAAGAGGAGGGTTGGAAACAATTTTGGATGAGCAACAGCAGCGAAGGTGGCATGGAAGTCTCTTTGAAGTTGCACCTTCCCAAGAAAAGATTGTCTGTATATGAAGGGATGTAAAATAAATAAAATGACCACAAATTGTTGCCTATAACAACAAAATCATTTGTGTTGTTTACCTGATAAATTTGAATTTTACTTAAAATCTTAACGTAATGTTTAATTATTTGTCTCATAGTCTATGATGTCATTTTCAATTCATATAATTCATAAATACATTATAGGAAAATGAAAAATATTTCAATGTCCTAAATCATATATAATTTAAAGTTCAAAAGAAATCGATAAAAATCAGATTAAAAATTAGAATGAATAAGACAATAAATACTATAACTTATTAAAACATAATTAATAATATTAAAATTTAAATTTATATCAAATTAAAGAAGTTAATTTATTTTATTTATTTATAGTAGTTTTAATTAATATATAATCCTAATTATAGATTTTTGAATAAATAAATAGTTTAATTATGATTTTAGTTACAATTTATTGTTAATAAAATAGAATCGTTATTACGATAATTACCATTCACATATTAAATAATTATATTTTTTGACACTATAACAAATAATGAATTATTTAGATTGAATAGTAAATTTTATAAAAAATGGAAATTCTTCAAACATCATCTCTTTTCAACCGTCAACCTCTTCCAACATCAACTTGATCATCATATCTTTTCAAACCTAGCTTAAACTTCATCGTGTTTAAGGTATATAATTTACCATTGAAATGTTCATAGAAATGACGTTAGCTTTATAAATGTTCATAGAAATGTTTTTAGACTTTATCGTGTTAGTTTTAGAAATGTTCATTAAAATGTTGTTACAACTGAAATGTATGCAACAATATTGGACCTGAAACTTCACACACAAGAGAGGATGAAATGTGTGGTTTAACAAAATATAATTTTGAAAACTTTTCTTAAGATCTACCCGAGTTTAAAATGTTTCTTTCCAAGATTTAGCAGCGG